GGGAAGGTAGCAAGCATATGATTGGACTAAGAGGAGTTGGATTAGACTGCAGGTGTTTTAAAAAGATGTTAATTGCTACTCAAATGACTTATAAAATACAATAATAAAAGATGCTTCTCTACTTTGCTTTGATTCTTTGTTGATAGTGAAGACAAATGTCAATTAACACAGGGTCAGTAATTGAAATGAAAATTGTGTCAGTGAAGTATTCCTTCAAACTGACCAGTGTCTGGAATAGTTTTCGCTCATCAGAGATGGTAAAAGTACACCCATCCTTTACTCAAGTAGAAGTACAGATACTCGTGTTTAAAAATACTCTGGTAAAAGTAGAAGTACTGACTAAACTTCTTTACTCAAGTGAAAGTAAAGAACTTTGAAATGTACTTCAGTAAAAAGTACCCATAACTAGCAGCTGTTTTAAAGAGTACCTGACCTCCCTTTATATTAATAGAACAATAATGTCATTGTTAGCTAATGAATGTTTCCATGCTGAACAACGGCAACATGACAACGTTTTCATTGGTCCCTCTTCTTTAGAGAAGACCAGGAAATGATGGATACACGGATTGTGTTCAAATCTATAGGCACGCAATGACTCTAAATAATAATGATCACGCCACCAAACACACATTCAAACTAAAGGAACCAGCCTGTTTGGAAAATGAGAGAAGTAGAAAGTTCAGGTATTTGAGTTCAACATGTAAGAAGTAGAAAGTAGCCTACAGGTATTTGGGTTCAACATGTAAGAAGTAGAAAGTACATGTATTTGGGTTCAACATGTAAGAAGTAGAAAGTACAGGTATTTGTGTTCAACATGTAAGAAGTCATCAGAAAAATAAGTAGTGGAGTAAAGTACTGATACCAGAAAAATGTACTCAAGTAGGCTACAGTAACGCAGTATTTGTACTCCACTACTTCCCACCTCTGACTGATCAGAACTGAAGCCACATCCGAAGCAGGCTTTTACAAGACTTGTGTACCTTCAAACCTCTGCAGAAAACTCCCTCCTCTTCGTTCTCTCCTCCCTCCCTCCCTCCCTCTTCACCCCAGTGTGTGGGTAGCCTCAGGTTTTTGAGGTTAGGTTAACAAGCCGCCATCAAAGACGTTTTATAAACTCGGGTCAGAGGAGGGTCAGGGTGCAGCAGGGTGTGTGGTTGGATTCCCTAAAAGAGCTCAGAATCAGAATACCTTTATCCGTCCCACAGAGGGGAAAAAGAGCCAGAGACAGCTTCATGTTATCTAAGAAGAAGCATGCAAACACATTGAAGATAACAAAATACACCATTTACAAAATACACATCCTGTAACAGTTCTGAAGATTTAGCAGCCAGGTACATATTGCACATAGTATTTAACAACAAGGGGTGTTATAGTCTGTACAATCTGCAGATTTACATCGTGCACAAAACACAGCTGTCCATGCACAACATCCCTGAGAGAGCTGCAGAGGAACCTCCTGAAAATAAAGATTACAGAAGTGTTGAGGCGTTGATGGCCATTCATCTGCAAACTGCACATCTTTAATGTTGCAGCTGTGTGTCCATAGTGGCCTTTTTGTTCCAGGCCTTTGAACTCTTGGGTATTTCACCTTCATCCCCCCTGCTCCTCCTCCTCCTCCTCCTCATCTTACAGTAGAGTACAGGCGCATTCAAAGGGTCATTAGTGCTAATCCTGCTAAACAATGAGGAAGCAGAAGCAAAGCTGAGACTCAGGAAGAAAGCTCTCCTGCAGACGAACAGAAGACGTGCTCTTATATCACGTTGCCAACAAACATCTGAAGCAACAACAGAGAGGTTCAGAAGCCGAGTGAGTGATACGTTTCACATTGACTCGTATTGTTACCGGTTTTTAAAGTGAAGCGTTAAACACATCCAGAGATGATTAGATGTAGATTTAAGTACTCTTAAAATACAGATTAAGTTTTGTAAGAAGTCAGTAGATGGGGAGTCGAGGATGCTTGTTGGTTAAAGCGTTATTGATAAATGAAATGACGAATCACTGAAGATTATCGCTCTACACTTCTTTTCATGCAGCTCTTGTTAGCTTGGATGCTAACTGCCTTTAGTTGTCCCAGTACTCTGTGAAATAACAATGAAGGGATGCAGTATATCCATCACTAACTTAGGGGTTAGTTCTTTCTGCTCGTAGATATTCTAAATGCATCTTGATTTTGTACATTTCATTCTTACTAATTATGTGTTGCATCATTACAACAAAGCACACTTGAAAACATACTTGGCAATAAACCAGATTCGGCTTCTACACATGATCCTTTTCTTCAGGAAATAAAGGAGTCCAGTTCCTTCTGGTCGTAGATACACTTCAGATGACCTCCTGAGGAAAGTGGAAGAGCTTAAATTAAGTTAGGAGCTCCTTCGTGGAATCGGAGTGTCTTTTAGCCTGCGTTAGATTAAATATGTGTGCTTATTAGTTTCAAACAGTGAAGCTATTGACTAGCTAACCACATCAGCACCACACGGTTTCTGTCAGTTTCCACAACGAGGCTTCCTGTCTGTTTTCTCAGAAGAAGAACTATGAAGAGGTTGGGAACAGATGGCTAAAGTACACACATCCTTTACTCCAGTAGAAGTACAGATACTCGTGTTTAAAAATACTCTGGTGAAAGTAGAAGTACTGACTAAACTTCTTCACTCAAGTCAAAGTAAAGAACTTTGAAATGTACTTCAGTAAAAAGTACCCATAACTAGCAGCTGTTTTAAAGAGTACCTGACCTCCCTTTATATTAATAGAACAATAATGTCATTGTTAGCTAATGAATGTTTCCATGCTGAACAACGGCAACATGACAAACACTTTTGCTTTGAACCATCAGCATGTAAAATGTAATTAGCGCTGGGTGCTAACATTCATCCAGAAACCGAGTCTCTGTGAGCATCTATTGTTTCTGGGATGCTCTCCAACTCCTGCAGGAGTGTGTGTGTGTGTGTGTGTGTGTGTGTGTGTGTGTGTGTGTGTGTGTGTGTGTGTGTGTGTGTGTGTGTGTGTGTGTGTGTGTGTGTGTGTGTGTGTGTGTGTGTGTGTGTGTGTGTGTGTAATGCGCTGAGGGCTGTTTGTCCAAACGGCGCCAGTGTTTGCTCGGCGCTGTCACCATGACTGGCTGCTAAATCTCCGTCTGGACCGCTGACCGTCACGACAAAACAAAAACATGACTCCTTTCTTTCGTGCATTGATTAAAAAATAAAGAATAATTTGTTGAAGCAGAATCTGGTTTATTGCCACGTATGTTTTCACGCGTGCTAATAGGCTAAGGTGTAGTGATGCGAAACGTAATAAGTTAAAACAAAAATAAAAGCAAGTACAAAATCTTGACGTTTAAACTGAGAGTAGAAGAAAAATGCAATATATCTGAAATTGAAATGAAAAGCTGTGCATCAAGTGGTAGTTTGTGCAGAAATATGTAAATGTTTACAGTAATGTTCCCTTGTGTTATCTACAGTGGGGCAAAAAAGTATTTAGTCACCAATTGTGCAAGTTCTCCCACTTAAAAAGATGAGAGGCCTGTACATTTCATTCTAGGTATACCTCAACTATGAGAGACAGAATGAGAAAAGAAAATCCAGAAAATCACATTGTCTGATTTTTAAAGAATTTATTTGCAAATTATGGTGAAAAATAAGTATTTGGTCAATAACAAAAGTTCATCTCAATACTTTGTTATATACCCTTTGTTGGCAATGACAGAGGTCAAACGTTTTCTGTAAGTCTTCAAAAGGTTTTCACACTGTTGCTGGTATTTTGGCCCATCACCTCACAGCATGACACTGACCATCACCTGCTAAAACACGCCTTCTTTAGACTGAAGTATAGAATCAAAGAGAAGCGTAGGGATGCAATCGAGGTCATATTTGACAAGAGCGTATATAAAAAATGGATTATTTGAGTGATTGGAATCAGTGACCTTCAGCAGATTGGTGTGGATTTCCAGCTTTCCGCCTAAAATGCATTTAATTTCCCACATTTTCTGCATTAACTAACAGTCTCACAGCCTTAACATGGACAAAATATACCATGAACATATCAAAAATGATTTAAAATATCTTATAGATACATTACTTTGATTAATAACCATACTTCCCATGTTATTGTGGATTTTATGGATTAATATTTTAACTTTATTCAAACTAGTACGGTGTCTCTTTTTGTATATTGCTTCACGGAATAAGTAATACTCTTTCTTTGTGAGGTGTCCCTTAGTTACGTGTCCCTTAGTTACGTAGTGATAATCATTATATATTTCTCCCTGTCGTTGACATTAGTGAACAGTGAGTCATCAGTGATTGGTAGATGTTGGTTTGGGGGTTAATGCAGCGTATGACTTCTGAGTGACAGGTGGAAGGTGGGCTGTGATTGGCCGAGGCTGTGTGTGTGTGTGTGCGTGTGTGTGTGTGTGTGTGTGTGTGTGTGCTGAACAGCAGCAGAGTGTTTCCCTCAGAGACAGATCTGACACGAGAGGAGAGAGGAAACATAAGAAAGTAATTGGATATAATAATAATAATAATAATAATATTGGAGCATCAAGGTTTGGATATTACGGGATATAGAGATTCTGTGAGGTGAGNATAATATGTAAGTCAATCATATTTGTGTTCATCAATTTGATACTTACATTTCAAAGCCCATACTTCTTTACTTTGACTTGAGTAAAGAAGTTTAGTCAGTACTTCTACTTTCACCAGAGTATTTTAAACACGAGTACTTCTACTTGAGTACAGGATGTGTGTACTTCTACTTGAGTACAGGATGTGTGTACTTCTACTTGAGTACAGGATGTGTGTACTTTAGCATCTCTGCTTGAACCTTAATAAACCTGATTCTGATTGGTTAGAGTCGAGCTCGTCACTCCATCCGGCGACGCCCCCCGTCTCGCCGCCATCGGACCTCCAGCACCGAGGAGGGGGTCACCACCGAGGGGGAGGTCACCACCGAGGGGGAGGTCACCACCGAGGGGGAGGAAAAAACACCTGGAGGGGGAGAAAAAGAGGAAAGAGATGTGTTCCGGAAAGACGGAGAAACACCTGAGAAACACGAAACCAACGAAGAAGAAGAGGAGTCGAAGGTCAGTGTAGAGTCCAGAGAGGAAGAGAAGAAGAAGAAGGAGGAGGAAGGGGAGGAAGGAGACTCGTCTTCATCAGGGAGGACGGGGGAGGAAGACAAACAGGAAGCAGCTACAAACACCGAGAGCACAGAAGAAGAAAAGGTGATTCTGATTTAAACTATAAAACTTAAAATACATAAATCTTACATTTGAGTTTTTTCATGTTTTTATTTCTGATTTGAACGTGCTGCTTGTTTAGCTGTTAGTAAGGCAGTGTGTCGGGGTTAAAGGGTCAGGACAGACGGAAACTGCATTTTCTTTAAAATGTAAGTCGGAACTTTCCAGGAAACATTTAAATAAATTCCGATGAAAGAAATCAAAAATCATCTGAGATTTCAAAGTTGAATTTTTTATGACAGAAAATGTAATTCAAGAAAAACAAATGAAAAAAATAGAATATTATACAAAAAAACAAGTAATAATACATGTTTTATTAAAGCCACTAATTAGGGGAAAGATACCAGAATGTTTCCCTCGGAGAATAAGAAACTATCAGAAGAAAATCACATCATTTATTCACCGGAAGAAAGTAAAGATTTGTGCTAAAAAAAAGAATGAAACCAATAATGAACTCTGACAGACGGAGCGTGAGAGCGTCACCTCAACAGCTTCGTCTGTACAACTTTTAACAAGACATACAGAGGAGGGAAATGGACTGAAATGAGAGAGAGAGAGAGAGAGAGAGAGAGAGAGAGAGAGAGAGAGAGAGAAGAGAGAGAGAGCGAGAGAGAGAGAGAACGAGAGAGAGAGTAGCNCTGTTTGACAAACCCCGTTTTTTTTCACCATTCATTCCAATGGCTGGCGTTCGGCCATGTTTTTTTTTTCTGCAGGGAGAAATTTGAAGATGACGTGACGACGCCAGCCATTGGAATGAATGGTGAAAAAAAACGGGGTTTGTCAAACAGAGCACAAGGTGTAGTCCTAAACGATAGCTGGGGATTCTGGGTAGTGTAGTGTCTTCTGCCATCCTTTACTCCGAAAAAAAATATATTTGTTTCTCCGAATCGAAGGGGAAAAATACAAAAGCATTGCACACATTTTAAACCAATCTATGTTGTGTAATTAACAAGGATACTGGTGTTTTTTAGTCGATGAGTAGTGCAGATATCACTGTAAAATCAATCGACATTAAGGGGAATACTTACTTCCGGGTGTACAATTCTCCGTTATCCAATGGGAATGGACGCTCACATTGCCTTTAAGGGCAGCCGACACAAACGAATGCCGTGCTTCTATGAGCGTCAAATCCCGCCGCAGATGGGAATACATTGCAATCAGTTGAAAGCTATTTGCGTCCCTTTATGAAGCTGAAGGAGCCTAGGAGCGTCACAACTGCACGCCACGAGACCCTGACCAAACGTCGCTCTTGGACGATTATGGAGTGAGAGTGTGTTGTTTTTCAACACACATGCCGTCTAGATGGCATCTGTTTTGAAAAGCAGAGGAAAAGTACTGAAATGCAACAACAACAAAAAAACCTTCCCTCTATCCCCTTAGATCAACAATAGTTTTTTTTTGTCCTCTGTGATGAAGGACGAATAAACACGTAGGGGGAACGTCTGCTTAGAATAAAAACAAACAACACAACAAGTACAGGGAGGAACAAACAAGAAGCAGAGGCGAGCTTCATGTCTTTACAGTCAAATTCTCCGAGTGGGTCAAAGTTCCCCCAGCAGCCGGAGACGTGCTCTGATTGGCTGTGGAAAGGTGAAATTAAAACCACGGTAAACTTTTGACCTCGCAGGAACTGGGATAGGGACGCCCATCGCTGTAGCGAGAGCGAGCTTCTCCCTCCTCCTCGCTGCTCTCCCACCGACCCACCCCTCACTCTCTCACTTTCTCTCTGTCTCGTTATGTCTGTCTTGCCCCCTTCGTTCCCCGTTAGTCTGTCACTCGCTCTCGTTTTGCTCTCTTTCAGTCCAAACCTTCTCTCTGTTTCAGCCCCCTCCTCTATCTCAAGCTCTCCTTGGCCGTCTCTCTCTTTGGCCCCGATTGAATTTGTGCCTTGCTGCATGCAGCCTGATGAGACGGAGGGAGGCAGTGAGCAGGATAGAGCTGGGGGAAGGGTATAGAGAGGGAGGAGACAGTCAGAGAGGGGGGATGGGAGTAGAGGGAGAGGAGCAGCAGAAGAAGACTCGGGGAGAGGAAGGGCAGCAGGAATGCAGCTTTTTAAACTGTGTGCTGCACAAACTGCTCCCTGTTAGAGGGGAAGAAAATCTAAAGAGGAGTGAATGTATAAATAGACATGTAACTGTGGCTCAGACTAAGATCTGCTGAGCGGCAGGGCGGGGAGAGCCCATTTTTACAGCTAATGGTTTCTCTCATTACACATCAAACGGCTAGGGGGAGAGTGTGTGTGTGTGTGTGTGTGTGTGTGTGTGTGTGTGTGTGTGTGTGTGTGTGTGTGTGTGGAGAGAGAGTGGTCCAATATTAAATGATTTCATGAGCCAACTAAAAGAGCAGCCCCATCGCTTGTTGCTTTGATGCCGCATGCATGCACACAGACAGTCAGTCGTCTGAGTCGTGCAGTTGCAATCGGCTATTAGCAGTTCCTTAACTACAGAGAGGTGGGGAACTGTCTACTGTAATTGTTGCTGCTGTTCACCAGTAGACAATCTAGAGAGGACATGTCTTGAGGCAAGAGTCAGTATTGGGGCTGGTCCAGGCTTATTTATTGTATTGGTATTGACTAAATTAAAGAGATCAATACCAAAACATGAATTGGGTGCACTACAGGGCTGCGATTAGCGGTTATTATGATTATCCCTTAGAGGTGGGGTAGGTAATTTTGGAGAAACCAGCTCGAGTGCGCTAGAATTTGAAAATACACAGCCGGGAAAAAATCTGCCACTTCCTTACAGAGCCCCTCCTCCAACACACACGAACGCGCACATGACCAATGAGGGCACGAGATAAGTTTGTGCACAGATGGAAGGCTGACAGGCAGGTAGGCCATCCAGTTACTTTAGCCGGGCCGGCTAAAATGATTGGTCGTGCTTTTTACAGTACTACGGCTTCCACAGATGACATTTTTTTTATAGATTTTTTTGTCAAAGCACTTCAGATATTCATTGCTATCGGGGTGTTAAGAGCATTCCATGGAATATAACAAAAAGTGTATCTCGAGCCGGTTTCTCAAACTTACCTACCCCACCTTTAATAAGCTGATTATTATTTACTGGATCAATAGACTTGTCCTAAAAATGTCGGAAAATATGTCATACCAGTTTATCAAAGTCCAAGTTGATGTCTTTAACTGTCTCAGCACTTAACAATAAATGGCTTGGATCATGATCGAGTCCAAAACATTGTATCAGGACCTCTCTGGTATAAAGATAAGTTCTTTTTAGGGTCTTCCCCCTTTTGAGCTGCGCACGTGCATGTGTAAACATAGCTTTAAATGCCTGTCATCAACGGGGACGGCACGGTCAGAGGGTTGTCAGTTTTCAGATTTTAATGCGATTTTAAATAATCCTTTTTGATTGGGATTAAGCTCTGAGATGAGTGCAGCGAGGAAAGGTGTGAAGGAGACAAGAGCCAGAATCGGTCGTCTGCCATGAGAGGAAGCAGGAGGAGAAAGAAGGCTGAGATTTTCTAGCTTTCTCTGCCAAAAAAAGACTGTGGATGTTATTGAGTTAACAAGACAGAGAGGGAGGGAGAGCAGTGGGAGCTGAGAGACTCGATAGACGAGTGGATGAGCAGTGTTGTGCTCTGCTGCTGCTGCACAGTGGGCACCATATGGTCTCTTAATGTATAGAGCACACATCAAGTTTGCCCTGCTTCCTCCTCTCTTCTTCTTCTTCTTCTTCTTCTTCTTCTTCTTCTTCTTCTTCTTCTTCTTCTTCTTCTTCTCTTTCCTCCCCCCTGCAGCCAGCCAATTACTCAAGACAGCCCATTAGATAATGTAAAAAAACACACTCACTCACCCTGCATCATTAGGTGTGGAGCCCCCCCACTGGCATGCACCCTGCACCACTTTCAGGATAACACGCACTTCCAACAAATGTGAGTTACTCACAAACACACAAAAACAAACACACAGTATGATAAGGGCCCCACCCCCCTCTGATGGGAAAGAAGATTGATGCCGAAAGAAAATAACATTTCTCAAGATGTCTCTCTGCTGCTTAGCTCCTTCCGCTTTAAATATTTAAAGCGACCATGGTATGTGTTTTTTCCCCATTGTGTTATCATGGATCTGTTGATTTGCTCTGATGTTAATGCAAGTTTCCCGAGCGCACAGAGCAGCAGAGCACAGAGGCGAATGAGTGGATCCCCAAACGTACGCTTGATGTGTGTTGACAGTGATGTGCGTGAAAGTAAATGCAAGTTGATTTCTGATTGGGGAATATCGTGTGTTAGGAGGGATTGCTTTCTCCTGAACGCTGTCGTCTGGTTTCAAGGTGTGTCGGCTGCTCTGTGACCGTGTTTGTTTGTGGGTGGTTATGCATGTTGCCATGCAGTTTCCCTGCCTCTCCGGCATGTGCTTTTGTCTGTGGGAGTGATGGATGTCAGGCAGGCAGCTAATGTGATTTAGATGCTCCACCAGGAGTGAGTGTGTGCGTTTGTGTGTGTGTCCCATCCACGTGTGTGCAGCTGAATCTGCAGTGTATGTTTGTGAGTCTACCTCCCTCCCTCCTCCTTTTCTCTCTTCTTCCTCCACCACCCCTCCCAACCCCCGTCATTTTTTCCCTGTGCTGTGCAGTTTTTGGACTATGAGCAAATAAATAGAGGGAGGCAGGGGGGAGGAGGGTGTTTATGTGGTGAATCTGCTCCCTCACTGTCACCCTGCAGAAGGAAAGCATGAGGAAGGAGGCGAGCAGAGGTGGAGGAGAAGGTGGTGTTCTCTTGCTCACGCCGCACTGATGGGTTATTGTGAGCCTATTATGTCCCATTCCCACTATAGAAAGTCTCACAGCTTACACACACTCGCTCATCTTCACACACATCAGCAAAAGAAGTGTCTTTCTCGCAGCAGTGAAGAGCTTGAGTTTTTATCTTTATGCAATTCTTTACACTTTTACACTACTGTTCTTTCACACTCACTCAACCATCCTTTTTCTTTTCCACAAAGTTACAGTTATTGACCTTAAAGACCCGGACACACCAATCTGAGAACAAAGACGGACCCCGCGTCTCTACGTTTTGGCCATGTGTCGCACTGGAACACACCGCAAAGAGTTCAGCCGACGGCCAAGAAGCACGTACGAACTGCGCATGCGTGAGTGGCAATAACTCTCCTTACCAGCAGGCGGCGGTAGTGTGTATTCGTCATTCAAAAGATGCAACAACCGGAAGACAGACTGCGTGATACACAGAGAGAAGAAGAACAGACTGCGTGATATAAACAAACAACAAATAGCGAGTGCGTTCCATTTTCACTCTACAGCGAGAAGCTCACGGGGCTTTCCCCAACCTTTGTCGAGAGCTGGAGTTCAATGGAATCTCAGATTGGCCTTCTTAATAGTTTGTTTGGGTCCCTCACTTCCTTTTTGCTTCTCATGCACTGATTCGCTAAGCTGAACAGCCAATCAGAGTGATTTCTTTGGCCGACGGCTGCGCGAAGGTGGTGACAGACTTGACAAAGACTGGATTCGTGGACTTGCTCAAAAACGTGGACATACTGTATCTCTCTGATTGTACTGTACAATCTCTTGTAGATTTTCGCTCATCGATGACCCGACATCTATCGACGCTGAAAATGGGCTCGGTGTGTCAGGACCTTCAGAAGCATTTCAGGCCTCTCATGCTTCTCAGGTGTGCATTTTGACGCAGACACCTGCAGCCTCTCGTCGTCCCTGAACTCTAAAAGTTAGTCTCGGGAGTCAGAGTGTCTCTCCAGTGTTTCTCCACAGAGCAGAGCCGCTTCAAACCGAGTGGAAAGTGAACAGCTGTTTGTCTCTCATGCGACATCGAGCACACGGTCCATCTCTGCCTTTCCATTTCCTGATGAGCTTTCCTCCTGTGAAGACGACTTGAAGACACGAAGGTTACCCGCTGGATCTGAGAGTGAATAATCATCTGCTGTCTGGAAGCAAACATCTAACAGAGGCAGCATTGTTAGCGCTGATGATTTTCCAAATTAATTCCAAATGAACATCGTCAACGTGATCAAGACTTTCCTATTTAAATAAGTCTCTGCTCATCAATGCTGTTTTCCTTCAGGTCAAATTCCTTCTATTTAAAACATTAGAAGCAGATATATAGAGTAGAATATGTTCCCATGTTAAAAAAATACTTTTTGCAAAAACACTGAGACAATTACGTTTTCTTTTCTGGCTTAGAGCTAAAGGAAATCTAAACATCTAATGTTCCTCTATTTACCAATGTAGATGATTATGATATGTTTTAAATCCACTACATGGTGGGATTATGTTGTCAACTAGAGATATCCATCTAAATAACCTGTATTTAATTTAATCAGGTGATCTGATCTATATATCCATGTTCTCCATCCTTTCCAGAACATTCCTCCTCACAGCTAAAGGCCACGGTGGCAGCAGGGCTTCTTAATTGAGACGACACTAATTATCATCTTCATGTTCCAGATTAGATCAGCGCTGATTAGCCTAAAATTAGACACACACACACACACACACACACACACACACACACACACACACACACACACACACACACACACACACACACACACACACACACACACACACACACACACACACACACACACACACACACACACACACACACACACTCACACACACTCCTGTCTC